AGTTGAATTTAATTTCTACTGTTGAAATATCTTAAAATTTAATTTTAATTTCACCCCCATCTAAAGCCATGTTTTTGAAGTTAATGTAGTTTATACAAAAACTGCTCATGTCAAAAGAGAAATATTAAAGCTTTCATTTATAATTAATTAAACTTCCACCTCAGTAATTAATCTGAAATTTCGCAGATTAAATGTACCCGTGGCTTAATATGACTACGTTGTAATAACGCAAGTCTTGTATTGTTGAACCGAAACTTAGGGACTAGGGTGAGTGGCACGGAAGTCACAGGCATGCAGGGACACGGAAATTTTTCGAAAGCAATTTTTAATATGTAATTTTTTCAAATTTTTTGAATACAATTTTTATCATGTGATCATAAAATGATTGGCTTTAATTGTTTAAACATGTGATTTCTGCCAGTTTCTATATGTTAAATAGGCCAGCCAGTTGATTTTCCTGAACATCAAATTAAATTTGTGTTAGAGTAGATATTATCAGGACTATAATTATTGTTGTGGCTAATGCTGAAATTTGGACCTGTTATAAAATTTTAAAAATTTTTTTGTTTTTTTTTTTTCCACTTTTTTTTAGGGTTGGGATAGGATTTAGGGATAGAATTGATAATTAAAGAGTATATGTGGATTCTATCAGGGCTTATATAAGTGACGCCAAAGGAAAAGGACACCTCGGCAATTTAAGTATATTACTGATTAATCAATTTTATAACAAACGTTAATATAAAATGTCTATTAAACGTTAACGTATAATTTAAAGCTCGGCATCATTGCTGAACTCGATAATTAATCAATAACATACTTAAATTGCCGAGGTGCCTTTTTCCCTTGGCGTCACTCATATTTTCAAATCGAGACCTTGGATTTTAGCATCAGCCGCGACAATTATTTAATATGATGCAAATATTAGCTTGACAACTTGAACAACTCATTTTGCGCGAGATCAACGGCTTTTCGCGAGAGCTGCACAAAATTACAGGCGTGCCAATTTTATCATCTCGCGCAAGGTGCATCTCTAGAGAAGCATTATGTGTATTATTTATCTCATATGAAATCACTAAATTTTGATAATTTTTCTCTTGAATCTTATGCGAGAACTTATAAAGTTGTAAAAAATCACAAATAAAATGTAAATAATACTGTATATATTTTACAATTAATTTTCTTTTAACTATTTAACTAAACTATTCAACTATTTAACTAAACAATTAAGCAACTAAACAACTAAACAACTAAGCAACTAAACAACTAAACAACTAAACACTAAACAACTAAACAACTAAACAACTAACCAACTAAGCAACTAAATAACTAAACAACTAACCAACTAAATTGACAAATTTTTATCAACTCAGAATACTACTATCATGGCTCACCCACTTCTAATAAAAATTTTAAACGTATTAGCTTACATTTTTCTTTTGAGTGCAAATATTTATTCTGTTTTTGAAGGCTTCGAGGTATGTTTAATATCACCTTTTCCTTTGACGGTTGAAAACACGTTAGATACGTATTTTCCAAATTTTATAGAGTCAATCTCCTTATCATGAATCCCACAAAACTTACATCTCTCCAGCTCTTTTTGTTTTTGGTGCTTGGGGTTTTATTCTCTTCTTATTAGGAGGCTTCGGTAAATAACTAAATTACTTGATAATTTATCTCATTCTTTAACTTAGATATTCAAATTTGTGCTCAATTACTATTTTTTTCTCCCTTGGTTATTTATCAATTCTTTCCTAGTGCAACTGAAGTCGTTGTTAATGGTATCCACTGGCACTTTATCGGAATCTCACTACTTAATGATTTGTTGTTAGCTTTATGGGTTCGTTTTTTTTCCTCACCAAATTAATTTTACTTTATCTGTTACTGCGTCACCCGCATGAAAGCTCACTGTAAATCTTATGTTCAACCTTATTTATTGATTTATTTATTAGGAAGCCAATTATCTAATTATTTCATTCATTGTCATTTTACTCACCTCCGGCCAAATTTCCTACATCTATGTTATACTCAAAACGCCAGTTTATTCACCTAAAAATTGGGTCGACCAACTTTTGATTCATGTTCCTTTCTCTTTATATCATGCATGGATCGCCGTGATTCTAACACTTAGTTTGTTCGCCATCGTCACTCCTGAAAAAACTGATGAGGAGCCAATCCTACTTGTTAAAATTGTTGTTGTACATTATTTATACTTAAAAGCTTATCTGTTGCATACATTGAAGCTGGCAATGATATTTCTGGTGCTCTCGTCATTGCTTGGACTTTGATTGGTATTTTTGTCGAGCAAGAAGATTTAGTTATCCGTTGGACTGCTCTCGTTCTTGCCGTCCTCTCAATTTTTCATATCATCAAAGGCATTGTTTTCCTTATTCGCAGAAACAGAGGAAGCCAAAAACATGGCTTTAGATGGGGGTGAAATTAAAATTAAATTTTAAGATATTTCAACAGTAGAAATTAAATTCAACT